AACTTCTCTATTTACATAATCCCTATTCTGAAGAAATTGTTGATTAAATATGATAGTGTTCTTTTATAATTATTACAAAACTCAAGAACTGGCTGTCGATTTATCTTATGAAATTGAAAAACAGATGCATCAAATTTTGTATATTGTGTAAATGCAACTATCTGTATGACACAAAATGTAAACAAGTGTACAGTGTAAAGACCCTTTCATATGTACAGAAGAAAATGCAGTTAGATTTAGATAGATAGGGAAATCTAGAAGTAAATTATCATAATCCCAAAATTATTATACATTTTGCATAATGTTCCCTCACCATTTCCTAAGCTACAGTTAGAAGCATACAAAATATTTTAAATAAATAGTCAATGTTTATAAAACACCCAGGAATTAACATTCTCCACTGATCAAAAAAATGGGTGGGATGGGTATACCCAGTATAACACAATATCGAAAAGCTTTGATAATTAATCAATCATTAAAGGAACACTATAGTGTCAGAAATACAAACATGTGTTCCTGACACAACAGTTCTAACAGCGCTATTTTAAGCCCCCCGTCAGCAAGGTAAAAGATTATTTTACTGATCTATTTTCCAGCGTCACTCTGGTCTTGCCACGGCTGGCTCCATCCCCATGGCTGAGATCATCTAACTTGATGATCTCAGCCAATCCAATGCTTTCCCTTAGGAAAACATTGGAAGGCTATTGCACGTGCACAGCAAAATACTGCATTAATGAGCATCTCCTCATAGAGATGCATTGAATCAATGCATCTCCCTAAGGAACATTTAGCGCCTCCATGCAGCACTGACCCAGAAAGCATCTCTAGTAGCTGTCTAAGTGTCTCCCAGCAGAAGTGTTCCTAGGCAGTAATGTAAACACTGCATTTTCTCTGGTTGTTCTGGTGACTGTAGTGTCACTTTAATGACACAACACTAAAACCACCGGCCTCATCCTACCAAAACAACTCTGCTGCCTTGAGGCATGGATTCCGCAAAACCTCTGAATGTGTCCTGTGATATCTGGCACCAAGACATAAGCAGCAGATCCTTTAAGTCTTCCAAGTTTCAAGATGGTGATCGGATTTGTTGTTCCAGTACAATTAGGATGTGGACAATTTGGGCCAAGGCAATACCTTTGTAATGTTCCTCAAACCATTCCTGAACATTTTTTTGCAGTGTGGCAAAGAGGCTACTGCCATCAGGGAACATAGTTGGCATAAAGGGGTGTACATGGTTGTAAGGAACCAAGTATATTTAAACCTCATTCGGTAGTTTCCTCCCGAACCGCCAGAGCATCAGTGATTATAGCTCTCCGTTCGGTAGATAAAGTAGACGAACTGAATAGTAATCCCAATAGCTTCATAAGATAATTCCGTTAGTGAAGCACACAAATCCCCAAACATCAGCCGAAGTCAAGAAGAAGGGTACAACTGAACACGGCTCCCAGCCCAAACATGGAGGCATCTGTGTGGACAAGAAATTGTTTAGTATGGTTGGGTGCTGCCAACACAGGAGCCTCACTCAATGCAGCTTTAAGTCTCTGAAATGCATCCGCGCACTCTGGGGTCCAGGTGACTTGTTTTGGAAGGGCCTTTTTGGTAAGGTCGGTGAGGGGTTTGGCCAGGGCGCTATACTCTGGGACAAATTTTCGGTAGTAGCCAGCCGTCCCTTAAAAGGCTAATACCTGGGTTTTGGTCCGAAGTTGGGGCCAATTAGCTATGGCTTCTACCTTAGCGGGTTCTGGAAGCTGCCTACCAGAACCTACCTGGTGGCCGAGATACTGTACCTCGGCCATGCCCACGTGGCATTTGTCAGGTTTCAATGTGAGACCGGCTAAACGAATTTGCTTGAGCACCCTGGATAAGTGGCCCAGGTGGTCCCCCCACGTGCGTCTATAGATGGCAATATCGTCTAGATACGCGCAGGCAAAGTCCTGGAACCTCTCTAGGAGCCTGTCGGCCATCCTCTGAAAGGTACCCGGGGCATTCTTCATCCCAAAGGGCATAACCCTGAATTGGTATAGCCCAAATGGAGTGACGAATGCTGATTTTGGGATGGCCGCAGGCTCCAAAGGGATCTGCCAATACCCTTTGCACAAATCCAGTGTGGTCAAGTAATTCCCCCCAGCCATGCGGTCTAATAGCTCATCTTTTCTGGGCATGGGGTAGGCATCAGTTATGGTGCGATCGTTGAGTCTCCGATAGTCTACGCAGAAGCGCGTGGTGCCGTCGCGCTTCGGTACAAGCACTACCGGGGAAGCCCTAGGCTCTGGGAGGGTTCTATAACCCCTAACTGGAGCATATCCCTTATTTCTGCGAGCATATTTTCCCGTACTGCCTCAGGGATACGATAGGGTTGCTACCGTAATGGCGTTTCTCCCTGGGTTTCTACATGATGTACCGCAGCGGAGGTATAGCCTGCTATGGCTGAAAACATTCCTTGGTATTCCTGAAGCAGTTGGGAAGCCTCGCCCTTCTCTGAGGGGGTGAGGTTCTGACCCAAGCTTACTTGGTCAATAGTACACAGGGAGGTGTCTAATAGATCGGGGAGGGGCAGCCCCTCACTATCTTCTGATGAGGGGGCACATACGGTGCCCACCTCTTCCGTTCTTTCGAAATAGGGCTTGAGCATATTTACATGAAAGGCTTTGGTCAGCCTTTCATCTGAACATTTGCTCACAATAAAGGTGGTATCACTTATGCGCTCTACCACCTTAAAAGGTCCGTGCCAGGCCGCCTGCAGCTTGTCCTTCTTGGCGGGTCTCAGGACCAACACTTTCTGTCCTATTTCTAATACCCTATCTCTGGCGCCCCTATCGTACCATTTCTTCTGGCATTCCTGGGCTGCCCGCAGGTTCTCCCGAACAGTTTCGGTGAGAGCCCGTATGCGGTTCCGGAACTCCAGAACGTACTGGACAATGGGGATCCCCCCCCTCATCCGTGTTGCCCTCCCAGTGCTCCCGTACGAGATCCAGGGGGCCCCGAACTTTTCTCCCGAACAGGAGTTCGAAGGGGAGAGAACCCGGGGGATGCCTGGGGCACTTCACGGTAGGCAAACAGAAGATGGGGTAGATACTTTTCCCAATTCCTGCAGGACTCTGCGAAGGTTTTCAGCATCTGTTTAAGCGTGCCATTAAAACGTTCACAGAGCCCATTGGTCTGGGGGTGATAGGGGGCGCTGAATAGGGCTTTTACTCCGCAGCTCTGCCACAATTGCTGGGTCAGGAGGGCTGTGAACTGAGTACCTCGATCGGACAGAATCTCCTGGGGAAAACCTACCCGGGAGAATATTTTAACTAGTTTAACTAGTTCAACTCTATGTTCGCGAGGGCTACTGTTTCCGGGTATCTAGTGGCGTAGTCCACTACAGTTAAAATGAATTTCTTGCCGGACTGACTGGGTCGGCTGAGAGGTCCTATTAAGTCCACTGCTACTCGGTGAAAGGGCTCCTCTATAATGGGTAAAGGGTGGAGTTTGGCTTTCTGGTGGTCACCTCTCTTCCCTATTCTTTGACATATGTCACACGTCCTACAATAATACTTAAGATCTTGCGTGATCCTAGGCCAGCCTTTGACATTAAGGGAAGTCAGGCGTAACTGGAGATTCGGCGCCGCCACTGTGGCGCCGTCAGTTGTGATTTCAAGTGTAGGGGATCGGGATTGCGTGTCGTGCCTCTGCCCGCTGGGGGGAAGTGAGTCGGCGGCGTCCGCTATCGGCGGTCGCACCTCTGCCTTGTGTGGGTATGGTGACCACCTGAAGGATGGGGGTCCTCCCAGGACAACCCGGCCGGTGCAGACGCGACAGCTCTCGGCGGCAGTTCCCTTGGGAAGTGTGGGGGAAAACTGGACTTATCAGTCTGGCCAGTTACTAGTCGGGCGGGGAACACCTTCCCCTGTCCGGGTGTCCGAGTAGCGGTCCTGCAGGAGAAGAGTGAGTCACTGAGGGTGTTTGCAAGTCGTGGCGCGGCCTACCCGTGGCCGCCCGACGCAAACTATGCAGGCTGAGCCTCATGTGGGATTGAGGGATGGGGAGAAGGAGCAGGTCCCCACGTCAGGGGACCCGAGTTCTAGGGCTACCCCCCCGTGGGGCTTCGTCCTCTAGTGGGTCCGGCAAGAAGCCTCTGCTTGTGTTCTTTCAGGTTTAACCCTTTGGCTGTTAATAACTAAGTGAAACGCTAACGTACCGCAGAGCTATTAAACTAAACTATTCTACAGTTGTGCAGTCCTGTTAGAAAAACCGCACCTCACCCCCGCTAACATTAGCCTTGGTCTGGGAAGTGCAAGTGGTAAGGGTGGGTGTGGCGTTGTCACTACCTCCGTCGTTCACGAAACCTCCTGTGTGTGTTTTAGTCATGTCCGTTGGCCGCATAGGGAGTACCTCTGTGTGGTGCCTATGAACTTCCCCCCTCTGACACTGATTGCTTATCAGGCCCGTGAGCCGTCCCCTGTCCAGGCCCCTCTTAGCTGTGTGGCCAATGGGTCGGCGTCCCCTCTGTCTCTAATCTCCTCTAGGTCGGTGATCATGAAGGTTCAGGCGTCGCGGAGCACTGCGGGGTTAGTTGTGTTTGGCTGAGTCGGTGGAAGGGTCTTGCCCCCAGTCCGGGGTTATGGTTTATCCCGTGGTGGGGACGGGGTGAGGGGGGTCATGACAGCCCCATAGGGACCGCCCGGTAAATATCGTGTTGCCTTGCCATAAAAAAAAAAAGGGGGGGGGGCCATGTCTCTCTGATACTCAGTATTCCTGGGGCATGTGGTGGCTCCCCAAAGGGCCTAAGCCGTCCGTCCGTACGTCATGTGTCTCAAGAGGCTGCAGTCTCCCACTAGTCGCCCCGTGGCAACCTGTCGCCCTCCCCCCTCCCCTCCCAGCCTTATCCCCCCTCCTGCAAGTCCAACGTTCATGCTCCATTGCACAGTGACTGCCTCCGGGATTCCCCGCACTCTAATGTTGTTGCGGTGGGTTCTATTACTGAGATCCTCATTTGCATCTTCTAGGGCGCGCAGTTAGTCACGGAGGTCTTTCAGTGCCCCCTCTTGTGTGTGCACGCTGTCTTGCACCTCCGCCATATTGTCCTCCACTGCTTGCGCGCGGGCTGTGAGGTCCGCCATGTTCTCCATAATGGGGCGTTTGTCCAGCTCCTCTGCCACCGAGCTACGAAAATCTTCCAGGAATCCTCTCATGTCCCTGCGAGTGAGAGGGGCCTCTGCTCTATCTGTTAGGGCTTGGGAGCTCATTTCGGATTCTGTGTCCGATGGGGATAACTCCGGCGCTGGCGGTTGTGCCTTGTCGTGCGTGCGCCTGAAAATTGGGGCGACTGCAGATTGTCGTTTTTTTTTCCCCCCACCCATGTAGGGGGTGCGTGCGGGTGAGTGAGAGATGGGTTTGAGGGGTTAAAGGGGCTCAGTTGCTTGGATTCGGGCTAGGCCTCGGCAGACCGTGACCATGTGTGGTTGCACCACCGTTAGAGTGGCCCCAGAGTCTCTCAGAGCTCGGGCCCCCACGCCATTCACTGTAATCCATTGGCGGTGGTGGTCCCGGTTGTCGCCCCCAGCTTGCACTGGATTGACCTCATGCAACACACTCCACTGCTCTTCTTGGTTAGGTGTGCTGGTAAAACTTTCCTGTTGCACACAATGGGCGGCTGCCCTGGGTTGTTGTGGTGGTTGCCTTTCCCAGCTCCCTTGGTTCAAACGAGGACACTGCTTTTTGTAATGTCCGGGTTGCTTACAGTAATGACACACTGCAGGGGGTCGAGGTGTTACTGCTGGGCCTTGTGGTGGGTTGCTTATGGAGGCTCTAGGGGTGGCAGTTGGTGCTGGAGCCGGGTAGTTGGGCTTAAACGTGGGTCTGCTCCCCCCCTGTTCCCTCCTCCTGTTGTCTTGGTATTCATCTGCTAGTCTGGCGGCTTCCTCCACTGTTTTAGGCTTCCTGTCCTTTACCCAATCTTTGCTATCATCTGCAGTGTAGTTAAAGAATTGTTCCAGCAGCATGTAGCTGAAAAGCCCATTCAGTGTGGGAATCTCTCCCTGTCTTCTGAAGTTCCCAAAACATTTTCCTGTATGCCTCAGGGGTTACAGCGTATCTGGCCAACAAAATGTCTTTTACCTTGTCATAATTATGTATGTCCCAATCAGGCACTGCTCTCTACGCTTCTGCTGCTCTGCCTGACAGCTTGCTGCTAAGTACTGCAGCCCATTTTGTGGAGTCTAATTCCTCCAGCGCACATTGACGTTCAAAGTCTTGCAAATAACTGTCAATTTCCATTTCATTGTCATTAAAAGTTTTAAATGCTGCATAATTTACCTTCTTTGGTAGGTCATTGGTACTTCCCGGGGAGTGAAGCAAATCCCCCTGTAACGGTCTGTCTCGGCCCTCTTGCTCTTTTTGTGTTTGCCTGGCTTGTGCCATGACCTGCAGAACCGCTTCTGTTGATGGATTGGGTCCCAATACAGTGAGCATCCATCTGATATCTTTCTGCATCTCGGTTTCTTCCTCATGCTCCATCTCTGTATTGCTGGTTCCGTCGCTCTGTATTAATTCTGCAATTAACGTGGCTTTTGTCTTGTTACTTGCCACTACGCCTCGATGGTTAGTGTCGGGTAATATAACAATAGGTAATGGTAGAAGTAGTGTGATAAATTTAGCATTTGATAAATCTTGAGAGGTGTGAGCTTCCCCTGTACCTTGAGGTATTTAGGACAATGGTGGTGGGATACGGTCCACCCCTCTGGTATTGAAGGGAATTGTAGGAGAGGATCTAGATATATGGGCTAGGCTGGTCTGCTCCTTTCGGGGTTGTCATATGTTGGTCAGGTATCAGTGATGTGGGAATGCAGAGATTCAGAGTTTGGGGATTGGGGAAGGGGCAGTGGAGAGATAAGAGAAGAGAGAGGAAAAGGAAGAGAGAAAAAAAGGGGGGACGGGAGGGTTAAAAGGAAGGAAGTAAAGGGTGGGGGTGGTTGGAAGCCAATTTGGGCGTCATCCTCAGTCACAGCCCCAGTCCACCACGCCCCTGGGTTCTCCCATGGTCGCCCAACCTGGGTTCTCGCGTCTTTTCTCCAGTGGTTCAAGTATTAGCCAGATGTTGTACAAAGTCATCAGTTGAGATATGGCACAGCCAGTAGAACTATTGTTGCGTGTATCTTTCTTTGTCTTTCACCAAGGTTGCTTTCAGGTCTTTGAATTTCCTTGTGTCTTCCACCTCCTCCACCCATCTCTTGGGGGGAGGGGGGTTGTCTCCAATATATGGGGATGATGTCCTTTGCAGCATTGAGGAGTCGTGTAATCACCGATCTTATATAGGTTGGCATGGTAGTGTGGTTAAGGAGAAATGAAGCCGGCAACTGTTGCAAGGTTTCGTCCGTCACCTCTCGTATCACCTGTCCGATTGCCTTCCAAAATGGCCTAATTAAGTTTCTGCATATTTTGTGATCATGTACAAAATAAAAAAATATATTTTTGTGTACAAATAGATCTACTGGGCTAAGCCTTTCAAAAAGTCTAAAATTAACACTCTTAGGCGTCTACACTAATAATATTTTAACCCAATTTAAAAAAACATTAATTTCAAGTTAATAGTGGCTAAAATGGCAGTACATTAGTTTTAAAAGTAAAGGAAAAGTAATTGTGTACCATCTAAAGAGGAGGTGATGAATATATTAAAGTACTGTCAAATGACAGAACATATGGTGTATTACCTCTTTGACTCGTTGCAATAACAGGGTAATGTTAGGAGAAAATAGGGAACCAGAGTGAGTGGGCGAGGAAGGAGGGAGGGTTGGATAAAGAGGACTTGGCAATAGTTTGTATCACTTATAAAATTATATGTATGTTTTTTTTTCGGTTTTTTTTGTCACTTGGGTGGGGGTTGGGTGAGATTCTTTTCAATTTGTGGAAGGAAATGGAATAAAGTTATACAGTCTGTAAAATTATTGTTCATAATATGATCTAAGTTTATTTTCTTACTTCAAGTAAACATGTAAAACCTTAATAAATCTTCTTTAAAACTATCTTCTATTATAGGAAAACTCAAACACCATAATCCTTATAGAGAACTGTAGTGGTTATGGTGCCAGGATTAAAATTATATGTATGTTTCCCCCTCCCATCCCCCCTATTTCTTGTCACTTGGGTGGGGATTGTGTGAGATTAATGTGGCCCGAGGAGGGCAGCGGCGCCGTTGTCAGGCACAGGTAAGTTCGTAACAGTTTTAAAGTTCCCTCTTATGTCTAAGTCACTTATGTCTAAGCTTATTGAGGCCACAGAGTGACCAGGAAACCCAAGCTGGCCTCCCGAGACCAGACTTCCACAGACTGATAGGACTCCATGCTCCCTACTTTGAAATAGCATACTGAAACTTTAATCTGAGGTATTTCAGACCCCCTGTGACAGTTTACAATGCTATTTTGACAATTAGAGCACTCAGGACAAGTTATCCAGGAATACCACACATGGGGTTTTGTAATGTTTATATGTTTGTTTTGAGGATATTCTGTTAAGGCAACTTGTTATCTAGAGGCTTATTTGATCTGTGTTGCTTCATGTAGTTATCTCCCAAACACATATGTGTCTGGGTGGGATCTCCGTTGTTGTAGCTAACAACACCCTGCCAAAAGTCTTTGGATAAATATGTACATTTAAACCAAATAAAGTGCATTTTGTTTTCACCCTTCATCAAGTCTAGGTAGTAGTTTATGTGAGCTGCTCTAATCATTGAAGGTTGAAGTCACAGAAGAAAAAGGTCCCAGCACTCCAAGGCTAAGATCAGCATTTTATTGAACTGCAGTGCCCAGTAGCCACGTTTCGAGCCTAGGGTCTTTTGGTTGCACCCAGTCATTGTTTATGGATTGAGTGCAGTTCCACCTTTTGACTTTAGGTACATAATCATTGAAGGTGTCAGGAAAGCTTGGAGCTAAGGAATCATTTCCACTTGGAGCTCTGGGAGACAACGCTCCAGTTTAACAGGAAATACTGCAAAAGATACCTCTTAACTACAAGGCAGCGAGCCTTCGGTAGTTTCAGTGGTGGTTCGGGAGGTCGAGTGTCTTTACCCCTTTCTAGACTGAAATGCTGGGATTGGAAATAGCAACACTGGTCTCTGTCCCCAACTTTCAGTGATACTTGTCAGGATCAGGTGGAACCAGAACACATAGACTGAATCATTAAAATATTCTTTCCATATACTGATCCTTAGAATGGCCGGACAGTAAGAATAGCTGAGGTGAAAGGGATATAGAAAAGCAGATAAATGTTAAACAAGACAAGGTCAAAACAATCACAGAAGACATGAACAATGATAAACGAGAGCCAGAAATGAATACCAATAAAGATACAAGTGGAACGCCTTATTAGACTAACAAGAACTACAACAGGGTAACAAGGAATGGGAGAGATAAGTATATATATGTCTTACTTCTCATTAGTCCAGGTCTGCTTGGAATTGATTATTATTCGTGGAGGTTATTTGACCCTTCTTTTCTGACCTCTGACATCATCTTCCGTGAACACTGAATTTGGATCCTCTTTTTGTCATATATATATATGAAGAAGGGGAACAGCCAGTTGACCGGAGAGGTAAGCAGACAGCAAGCCTGACAGTACCCATCCCTCGAGGAAGGCGGGAAGCAGAAGACTGCACATGCTGCAGGTTTCCAGTGCCAGAGGATGCAAAGTAGCCCAGAGCATCACTGAGCCACCATCATGCTTAACTGTAGGCAGAGTGTTCTTTTCAGCGTATGCTTCATTCTTCTTCCTCCAGACATACCGCTGATCCATTGTGCCGAAAAGTTCCAGTTTTGTTTCATCTCTCTACAAAGCAGAATCCCAAACATTTGTGGCTTATTTATATGATTTTAAGCATATTGGAGCCAACGTTTTGGGTCAGGAGTGGTTTATGTCGTGGAGTTCTGGCATGGAAACCTTTTACATTCAGTCCACTTAAAACAAGATATAAGGAGCAATGTGGAGCATCCGTTTAATGTGAGTGTGCATTTATATATATTTTATCTTCTATTCTAAATATCTGACATTTTGTTCTATATTAGTGTTTTTGTTTCCATATTTGAACTATTCCTTATTGGACCAAGACTATACCCCTAAATCCACAGTCGGGGATTGTACCACCCAGCCGCTACATCTGAAGCTAGTCTATAGCTCCAAACACTGTAAGTGTATTTCTTCCTTATTGCCACACTAAAACTACTTACTGCACTATATTTTCCCTATTTGTCCTTTT